ATCTTCATTGTGTCTTCATCACAAAATAGTCGCGATCAAAGCTAACTAGGACGGCCGGCCTGTTCATCGTCGAAACCGTTGCTGCTTCTCTTGCTAGCTGCTTCATTGGTTTTGGCTCACCCGTGTGAAGCGGATCACAAGAAAGATGGCAACTTCGCAGCTGTTTCGTGGGTTGCAGCTTACCTGTGCTAGCAGGAGGCAGGAGCAGCTTTGGAAGAAGGAAGTTTCAGAGTCTTTGCGTTGTGTGATCCCGTCCAGTCGATGCTCTTCCAGAGTGCAGGAGTGGAAGAGGGCGGTTTCGGAGGTCTTTGCACATCCCATGCTCCCGAGCGGAGGAGCTCTCGCAGCTTCAACAGAAGGCAAGTTGGCTATTTAGTTGTTGCTTTCCAATGAAGCCTTAATCGTGATAACTGGGAGCTTCGAAGCAATTCCTTCGTTTGCTATGAAGCAAAGAAGTGCAAACTTTTGCATGTGTAGGAGTAGGGAGGTTCAACCAGCTTCGCGTGGAATAGAATCTGGCAAGGGCTTTGGATCAGACATACAAAGCAAAGAATAATTATATTGAGGATGTCGGGCGACAGATATTATGAGAGGTAAAGGATTGAAACTTCCTGGGAAGATGGCTCCTGAAGTTCTTAAGACCTTGGTTGAGCTCATACAGGGAGCTAGTGTCTCTTCGGGAGTCACTTCCTTAACACGTGTTACGGTTCAGCCGAGTGGACTTTCAGGAATGCAATCAGCTTTGGCAGCCTCTAGGTCACGTAAGACAGATGCTCAGAGGGAGACAACAGGTGCTACAACTGCGAAAAAGTGAGACACCTAACCAAGACATGTCCAAATCTACCCAAGGAGAGAGACGAGTGCACGTGGACAGTCTAGAGGTCATGGTCGTAATTGTGGGGATCGAAGGGGTAAAAGAGGGGGCTACCGGGCAAGTCTGATGGCAGCGAAGGACGAGGGAGAGATAGGGTAGTCTTTACCGTTGATGAACACAAGTTATTGGAGATGTTGAAGAGGAAACAGAGAGCGACATGTGATGTCACTGTAGATGCATCCACCTTATCATCCAAGGGAAACACTGCTAGTTATGTTCACTCAGTCAAAGGTGTTGGTAATACACATGTTATTGCCTCTATATCCACCACAAGTTCACCACAATGGATAGTAAATTTTAGTGCATCTCGACACATGACATGTGTCATCAGTGAATTCTCTTCCTATACTCAGCAGTTTCAGAAAGCATTCAGACCGCTGAAGGTACAACACAGCTTGTGGTTTGTAAAGGTATAGTAAAGTGTACCAATTCTATGACCCTGTTTAATGTTTTGCATGTTCTTTCTTTTTTATTGAACCTTTTATCCATTCTTGTCATTGTACTTTAACTAAAATGTGTTGCTTCATTTGATATTCAAAAGGTGATCTTTCATGAGATGGAGACCGGCTGAAAATTTGGGACTGGCACGACATATTAGACTCTAGTACTTGGATAGAGAGGGAATGGGCTCAGCTTTTTGGCATCAATGGTTGAGAATGCTGGAGCAGGAGGATGTAAGAGGAGTGTGGAGGATGTATTGTTGCTAATTCACAGACACATGAGACACTCTTTATTCAGTCAATTGAGTCGTTTATATCCATTCTTGCATGAAATTAAAATAAGGAGAAATTGTTGTGTTATGTTTGTGAGTTTGACATGAGCTCTTATGTCAGTTATGGGAATATGAATTTTGGTGTGTTTGATTTGATACATTCTTATGTATGAGGACCTTGTCCTACTAATTCTTTGAATGGTTATCGCTATTTTGTTACGCTTATTGAACCTTTTTTTCGTGTTACCTAGATATACTTGATGAAACAGAAGAGTGAGGTGGTTATTTGCTTTAAAAATTTTCACAAGACAATCCAAACCCAATATGAGGCAATTATAAAGGCACTGAGATCTGATAATAGGACAAAATATATCAACAAAGTATTTGTGGACTACCTGTCAACTCAGGGGATACAACACCAAACCACATGTTCACACACACCAGCACAGAATAGAGTAGCAAAGAGGAAGAATAACATCTTCTAAAGGTAGCCCACCAGAGCATGATGATGGCAATGAATGTCCCACAACACTTATCGAGGCATGCAGTGTTGACAACAACTCAATTGATTAACAAGATGCCCTTAAGCATGTTGGAGTGGAAGTCTCCTTGTCAGATGTTGAAATGAGATAATTGTGGGATCCTTCCATTGAAGGTATTTGGATATGTATGTTTTGTGAAAGACAGGGAAATTGAATCTCAAAGCTATGAAATGTGTTCATGAGTTATTCTGCTACTCAAAAGGGTTGTCTGTCGAAGCATGATTGAAAAGAAACTTTTTGTGAGTATGGATTTGTTATTCAGAGAATTTGAACTATACCACACTCTGGAGATGAATTTACGCTTCGGTGACTCAACAAACATTAAAGATATGAGGCAAGAGAGAGTGAGTTGTAGTGGTGATAGTGATGCAATTTGGATAAATGTCATGTCTTGTGATTTGGGATGAATTAACTGAGGAGATGAAAATTGAGGAGATTGAACCCATAGGTGGTGGGATTCAGGTTGAAGATGAGCTAAGGGTGTATACACGAAGAAAGAAGCAAAATGTCCACCTTTGAGTCTAAACTCCCAGGTGATATTATTCCTCCTTCATCCACTTCTCTCTCTCTCTCTTCCCCCCCCCCCTCCTCCAAACTTAAGGATGATCTCCTGCAGCAATGCAGGATATCCTCATAATTGTTTTGGGTGGGAACTTGACATTGCGAATTTTATTTCTTATTCTAAAACCTCACCTTTTTGGACTCTGTCTCTATGCCAAAGTGTCGGCATGTTACTAAAAAGCATCTCAAGTGGAAAGCGCTGATGCATGAAGAGCTTGGAGCTCTTGATAAAAACTAAATATGGGAGAGTGTACCACTACCAACAAAAAAGAAGACAATTGGATGCAAGTAGATCTTCACAGTAAAACAAATTCTATAAGGGAAAGTGGAGAGGAACAAAGCACGACTAATGACAAAAGGATACAGTCAGACGTATGATATTGACTATTATGAAACCTTTGCACTAGTTGCAAAGATGAGCACAGTGAGTACATTGGCTTATCTGACAGTGAATAGTGGATGGAAACTCCAACTGAATGTGAAGAATGCTTTTCTTCATAGGGAGCTCCTGAAGGAGGTATATTCGGAGATGCCACCAAGATTAAGTACATCTCAGATAGTGGGCAAGGTGTGTAAGCTTAGGAAGTCATAGTATGACTTGAAACAGTCTCCTCAAGCCTAGTTTGACAAGTTTAAGATAATGATGCTTGGCATGGGAAATCAATAAATCAATGCATCACAGTGTTCTTTCGGTAACATGAAGGTCACACATCATACTTTCTATGTATGTGGATGACATAATTGTTGCTGGTGATGATGAGACAACGATTGCTCAACTGAATGGAAGATTGGGGAAGCAGTTTGAGGTAAAGGATCTGGGACAACTCAAATATTTTCTTGGAATGGAAGTGTCCAATGAACCTAAATGAATGGTAATATCCCAAAGTAGGTATGTACTGGTTCTTCTCACGGATATAGGTATGCGGGGGTGCAAATCGGCGGCCTCTCCAATTAATCAGAAGGTCAAGCTTAGTACAAAGGCTGGTGAATTAATCGATCGAGAGAGGTACCGGAGGTTGGTGGGCAGCCTAATCTTTCTATGCTACACTTGACCCGGTATCTCTTTTGCAATAAGTGTGTGAGCCGCTACTTGCATGTTCTAAGGAAGTGTCATATGGATGTAGTGTATCAGATTCTGAGGTATCTGAAGAGTGCACCAATGAAATTGTTGATATTCAGAAAGAACGAGCATATAAATATTGAGGGTTTTTGTAATTCTGACTGGGCAAGTTGTGTTGATGATAGACGATCCACATCAGGATACGGCATGTTTATAGGTGACAACTTTGTTTCGTGGAAGAGCAACAAACCGTCAATTGTAGCAAGATCAACGGTAAATGCAGAATATAGGGTCATAGCATTAGGAGTTACTGAGATTATGTGGCTGAAAGCCTTGTTGGTTGAACTCAAAGTGGATTAGGGAACTCAACTCAAATGAAGTTGTGGTGTGAAAACAAGTCGGCAATCAACATTGCTAACAATCTGGTGCAACATGATAGAACTAAACATGTGGAGATTGATAGATTCTTCATCAAGGAGAAGTTGAATGACTGATTATTGGAACCAAGTCATGTGGTTACTGGAGAGCAGGTAGATGACTGCCTCACAAAGTACTTAGTTCAGTTGAGTTAGCTAGATTATGTGACAAGATGGATTCAGTGAATATCTTTCACCCATCTTGAGGGAAATTATTATGAGTTATGTGTAATTAGATGGTTTTATTTGGTTTATTTGTTAAATATTGTAATACCTGTTTAAACACATATGTGAAATGAAATAGCAAGTTTTTCAAGAGCAACCAATTCTTTAATATAAATTTTATGCTTTGAAATATATAACTAGAGATTGAAAAGTAAATATTTTAAGCATGATAATTTTGTATTTTTAGTTTAATGATATTTCTTTGTAGATTTGCTATTCTTACAATAAATCTACCAGAGTTGGTAGCCATCTTCATACCAGGTCTAGCTTATATTGCCCCAACTCAACCTTGTTGGTTAGGAAATTGTCATATGATTTTTATTTAATTAAATTAAATATTTATATACATATAAGTTTCAGAGCTGGAAAATTTCATGCTTTTGTTACTAGTTACTATGATTTGTTTTTTTGCTGCTGTAGGATAATTTTCTATTTTCTTGCTCTAAATTTCATAAAAGACAAACGCCTTTTTGAATTGCAATTAGAATTTCAGTGCTTCATTGATTTATGTAATTACTTTGAAGTATGAATTGTAATTTATAGATCTCCAGCGTCAAATTTCTTGAATGCTGAGGTAAAAAAGCTTATTTCTTCCTTTTGTCTGATCCAGTGAAGGCATTCCGGTACAGCTTGCTTATGATGGGATGAGAATCTTTCTTGACTTGTAATTCGGTATGTTATTTGTTGTTCTTTACTTTGAGAGTACTTTGGTCTGCTTGCCGATCCCAAATGCATTTTGCTTGACAAAAATTTATTACTTTTTACAATGTGGAATGTTATTGCATTTTGCCGGTACAAATTATATGCATCAAATTTTGTCCTTTTTTTACGTGTTTGAGTTCATTTTTGAAATATTCTTTAAGGACCATCCAACAAGTTTTTCTTGGAAGATTTACATGCATACCACTCAATTCTTATATGAATACCTAAATTTCAATTTTAACATACATACCACCTTACCTATGCATGGAAAAGGTGTATTTCACTTTTTAAATGTAAGAAGTGGTATTTTTTATGTGATCTGAAAGAATCAGGTGGTATGAATGTAAAAATTAAAGTTTAGGTGTTAGAAGTGTAAATACATAAGAAATGGGTGGTTGTATGTAAATGCCCCTTTTTTCTATCTTTTCACGGAGAGAAAGCCAATTGATCTTAAAAGAAGGCTAGAAGAATTTGTTTGATGACCATCATTATTTTGTGAAGTTATTTGTCATCTATCTCCATAGATTTTATCCTTACTAACCTTGGAAAATCTAAGTTTCACTAGGTAAATATCTTCTTCTTGCTTGCCTTTTTATCCTCTCTCAACTTAGAGAAATCCGGAAGTTTTCTCCTGTAGCGAACATTGGTGAATTGTAGTTTTTCATAATCAAAGCTAGACTTGCATTGATTTCATTTGTCTTTTCATGGGCTTAGTAGAAAAAGTATTAGTGCTTGAAGAATGATCATGCAAGAATTTTCTTTCTATGATAGACAGCTAGGTGCATTACAATCATAGCTTAAATCGAGGTCAATCAATTTGTTATTTCTATCTAGCATTGTTTTTGACGGTTTTTTCTCAAGATGGTGATTGTGCTAGTAAAGGCGTGATTATTTAAATTTGGGTGGTTTTTGTTTTGGGGGACATTTACATACAGACCACCCAATTGATGTGTATTTACATATCTAACACCTAGATTTTGCTTTCTTTTATTTTAATCCACCCAAATCTTTCATATCACATAAAAAAAATACCATCATTTTAACTTTCACACATTGAAATCTATCTTTTCATGCATACTAAGGTGGTATGTATGTAAAAATTGATGTTTAGATATTGGATATGTAAATACATAGGATTTGAGTTGTAAGTAAATCTTTCTATATTTTGTTACTAGGAATTCCCAAATTTCTTATTTGGAGTTGCAGGTAGCATGGGATTATCTGTGGCTTGAAACGGTTCTACTTAGAGGTGACTATGGTTCAGCAACATCCACCTATAATGCCTTGACGTGAAATAAGAGGACGCTACAGAGAGGAAGCATATTATAGTGTCCGTATGAATTTTTATTTTCTAATATTTCTTACATTTAAACTTTATTAATTTAGTATAATACTTTAAAAAGTTTCTTTGGTTTCTTTCATGCATTTGCTTTAGGGAAAGCTATGGGCCGCTCATTTTATTTATGTAATGGACATGTGACTGAACAATTTACCATAGACTGCCTTTTTCTTGTCTTCTAGCTGCTAGCATTCAAACTGATTGTAAGACTAATATATGATTATAAGGAAACTACTTTCAAGTATAAAAGAAATTTATGAGTGTACTGCTCTGTGTCTGTCTTCTTTTATGAAAGAGCTAATTGGCCCATTCCTTCTCGAGTAACAAATTAAAAAACTTTTTTTTTTTGGATATTCTCGAAAAATAACTGATCGCTACATTACTGTTGCTGGTGAAATTTGAACTTAGGCATCAGAAGCAATCATGAACAAACAAGCTATTCCATACCCCTATTAATGGCTTAGTGGCTTTCTCCCAGCGCTGTAGTCCAGTCCCTCTCATCTAATAAAACCTTCCTGTTTTCTGCTACTCCAGCAAAGTTCATTTCTCCCGTCAGGTTCTGGATCCAGCTAAACCCCCCCTTTCCTCCTTTGAGGCCCCAGAGCTAATTTTGCAACTTGGTGTGCGTGCTAGATTGAAAGTGTTATAAAAGGTGCACACTTTTTGAAGGGATTGGGAACATATTATTCCACTTCGTCACTTCATTGTTATTGCCGTTCCCCATAAATGACACATTCAATGCACATCCCATTAAATTGTCATTGATTAGGATAGCTGTGAACCTAGGCTATCCTAAATCCCTCCTTTCTTCTGATCTTAATGAAATAATCGTTTTCTTATTTACCCCAATAAACAATGCATAGCCTCTTATTGGCGTTCTTACATGAAGGATACGCTGCCATCTTGCGCTCAAACGAACCTGTAAAAGCTCAATTGGTTGTAAGCCAATTATAGGTAGTGTAATTACCAACCACAGCAGAGTTAGAATGGCTTCATTTTCACACCTTCCCTCTACCATCTTGAGCTTCTTTTCTCACAATTTTAATATTCTTAGTTGATTCATCTCCTTAAGCTTAATTATCGTATATGGAAGATACAAGTTTTGGAAGTCAAAAATTTTATTTGGATTAGATGTTATTTTAATATTTGATATTATTTGTGCAACTCTTGTATACTTGAAATTAAATTATTTATTATTCGATGAACAGAACTAGTTGTTTAGGTGCTTTCTTACAGCTATAGCTGAATAGCGACATATTTATAGTTAAATTGAGTGTCCTGAAAAATGAAATCATATGAGCTTGAGATTATTCAATTTTAAGTTCTGTAAGACACTTAAAAGTTAAAAAAATAATTTAAGATCCAAAGAATCAACACAAATGAAGTGTCATGAGATTATAATTAAATTTGAAATTAAAAAAAAAGTATTTAAATATAATATTGCTTCAAGCAGAAAGTTTGTTTTACGCTATCTTGGAATAGAAAGAATATTTTTTACGGCAAAAAACAGAGGAGGTCTTGACGTACTACCTCAAAAACGAGCCGAGATGATGACGAGAGGCATGACGTCATCAAAAAAAGTTTTAACGACCGAGATTAGTCCGCGTCGTCTCCGTACGGCGGAGTCGGCGCTACAAAATAGGGGAGCGGCGCCTCGTGGGGTCTACCTGAGTCAAATAGCTTTGACCCAGCAAGGTGGAGCCCGCCATTTATCCGCATTTCGCTCCCCGAAGCCAATGAAAGGACTAATCTACCCTCGGTCATAACAGCCACCTTTTTACAAGTCTAATGATTCTCTTAAACCAAAGTCATCGAGCTAACCTGATCTTGTGAATTTATGCGATTAATTAAATGATGCGCTCCCTAAGTTTGAAATCATATGCGTGCGTGTTCACATCTAAACTGGTTTTGTGTGATTTTAAACGTACTTTTAGCCGGATTTATATTAAATATTATTATAAATAGATTTGCTAATATTATTTACATTAATGAAAATATTAAATTTGTTAATTAATTTTGATTTTAATTAAATGTTAATTAATATTCAATTAATCAAAAAGTAGAATGACTATATCGAGATAACGGTCGCGGTAGCTGATGTCGCAATTGATGCTCTTGAGCTCACCTTCATGCTAAACAACATCTTCAAGCGGCTAGAAGTACATCACAATCATGAAGGCCATGATATTGAAGTAGGGCTTATTTATTTCATGAGTTTAATTTTTAAGCAACTATTTCTTAAGCCAAAAAGCAATTTGAAACTTGCATTATTGATTATGTAAAACCATGCAATAAGATTGCATTTTATGATTTCATAGTATTGGTGATGGAAGCTCGAAGTTAGGATAGAAGGATAAGAAAAAATTGGACCTTCATGATGCTGCAAAAGGCTCATATGTCATTTCATCCCGATGTAAAAAAATAATATTTTTTGTATGAACATTATGTTACAAGAATATTTTAATATGAAATAAATTTTTATGAATTTCATATTTTGTTAGTTAATTAATTTTATTCAATTATACTTTTTTTATTAATTAAATATTAATTTAAATTTAATTAATGTCAAAAGTAATTAACAAATTTAATATTTTTATTAACGTAAAAAATACTAACAAATCTATTTATAATAATACTTACTATATATCAATATTTATATTACTTAAAATAAAATTATATCACATATTAAAAAAAATTTTGAAAAAATGATTTTTTCATGAAATGCCCCCATATTTTCTTTTCACAGGAGCTCCTCTCCCATCTCTTGCTAATAAACATGCTACTTTTAAAAATGTGTGTTATAGAAATACCATTTTATTTTAATGTCTAATATACATGAATCAATCAATTTTCATGATTAATTAATTGGGGAAATAAAAAAATTAAAATTTTAAATAAAATTATGGACCCCTTCCTTCCCTCCTCTAATATAAAGAATTGTATTCGACTCCTATTGAAAAAATAAAAAAAGCATAAAATTAAAAAAACTTTTCACATATATTTTTGTCATACTATATCTAAACGTTATGACATAATTATGTTAACATAAACGAATGTTTTAATTAGCCAAAAATAAAATCTATGGAGATTAATTTACATACATACTGCCCAATTCTTACATATTACATATCTAATACCTAAATTTCAATTTATACATATATGTCGCTGATACATCTTCAGCAAATATCAATCATCTGGCACGAATCTCGAGGCATGACATAATATCGAGGTACTTTTTTTTGCAATAAAAACTCAAAACTCGATAAAAACTCATCCAGAACTTCGATTTCAGTAAACTTAAAGTCAAACTGATCGGGTCGACAAGAAGAACCCAATAATATCAAAATTAGTCCAGTTCGAGTTAAATAAGGCTCAGATCAAGTCATTAAACAACTCTTGGAAGTTTTTTGGACATATTTAGAAGGTTAAACGAATGTCGAATCTAGCAAGCATATAATGGAAGCGAGCGTCTCAACAAGACGAATCCAACGAGCCTAAGACCGCTCAATTCTAATATCGTTCAGGCACTCAAATGTTCATCAAACGTCATCTGATTGTAGGAAGTCATTGGACCGTCCAATCAAAGTGGTTCATATTCATGTTTTCATTGCACCAAGAATACTATAAATAGAGCATCACCCCTCTCATGAGAGGGAGTTGGAGGCTTGAGAGAAAACTTAAAATTTTGAGAAGGAGCTAAAGTTTAGCACCACCCCTGTCACCATTGATTGCCGTCGACCACTATCAACCATCGCCGATCTATGTCGGCCATTGTAGATCATCGTCGACTGCCGTCAACACCCGCCAACCGCCGTATCCCCGCCAACCGTTGTCAATCGCCTTTGACCACTGTCGACCATCGTCGACAACCACCGTTTGCTGCCGTCGAGCACTACTGTTACTGTCAACCACAAAAAATCTAATAAAATATTCAAGATAAAAAAAATTTTAAGAATAAAATATTTAAGACTTTAAAGTACGTACTTTAACTTTCCTGCAAGACAATCGGGTTGGATTTTAAATAAGTTTCATAGCATGACTCTCACCCAAGTTATATAATAGGGCCTCCAAGCTTAGGATTGTGGTAGATTACTGCAATATGTTTGCATGTCCTAAGGAGAAGCCTCCAAGCTTCAATCCGATTGACCTAGCATAAACTTCTACTTATGTGGTTGTCTAGTGCACTTAGGGTGTTAGAGGCTACCTCGACCCAGACGGTGTGTAAGTTCTTTGTTGAGAGAGTTTTCAGCTTTGTAGCTAGACCTCTTCTTTCCTTTCTTTACTATGTCATCCTCGCTACTTCGGCGGGTATAATTCCGTCGGGTATAATTCCCACCTCTTGGAGCTTCACCTGATAGTCATAGGATAGAATTTCATTCCTATTGACCTTAGAGCTACTGAGGTCTCCGCAAAAGTCGTAATTCACAGATTTCTAACCGTGGATCTCTAGACGTGTTGGGCCGACTACCTTCACAACCAGGTAGACTTAGAGCCCTAATAGCTTGGGATGACGAGTCGGTGGTACTCGGACCTGGCTACCTCTACTTTTAGCATTGCTCTACCCTTTCTTTGTTGAGCCCCTTTGAGCCATGTCACTTCTTTTGACTTCATTGATATCAACTTGACGCCCTGATTACCGATCAGTAGTTATCCTTTTAGAATACAGTAATACACCCTCTGCCCTAATGGCTCAGTGAGCTTTGACGTATAGGGATATCTTTGTCAAAGTGATTTTGGTTATTTCATAGGCATTGTATACAGATGAGCCGCTATCTATTTGGGATGTAAAAGACTCACTCTCTGCCTTGTGGCTTAGCGAGAGCTTTGAAAGCATCGGTGTGTTATCATACGAAATAACCTTTCTTTGATGGCCTATTCTCCAAATTCATGATAATATAAGTGAAACTCCTTTTATCGAGAGTATTTTTGGGTATCCCTCAAGTCAAGATGTAATTAACTAGAGGGATACGTTTCTCTGGGAGATTTTTGGCTCCATAACAAAAATATTTTTTTTAGTTCTCTGTTTACAGGTGGCTTATGTAGGGATTCTCTTCGTGGATATTATATTTTGAGGTACTTCGATCCGAACATGTTTGTACGCATACTCTCAACCTAGCACATCAGGATTATTCATATATAAGTCTTCCGCTTGTTTCTTTTTATGTGTTTGTCTATCTGTTGTCGCATATCGTTTTTTTTATTCCTCTCCTTTTTGAATCATTGACATGATCCAACAGGGAGATTTACGCCGATAAAGAATTATAC